TGTTCTTCTTCTTTCGTCGCCTTGTGCAACCTGTTGTGCTGACTTCCGCTGTTCAGAGATGTTCAGGCCAGCAATGGGAACCGTGGAGCATCTTCAGATGTTCTGCACATTCTAGAATCCTGAGAGAAGCTACAAGTGGCATTACAAGTGTGTATCGAGATATGTTCATTGCTTTTCACCCGTTTCCTAACATTTCCTAGGGCTACCATTCCTGATTCCTGGAATCAACGTGAGGGCTGCAAATGGCAGGGCCTTGTATTGAGGGTCCCTCTACCAATCCTGTCAAGATCATCATAGGGGTACCTTAAATCCTAATCCTAAGTCCTCAAATTCTAGACTCTAAGCCTCAAGCCACAAAACCCTAGCTTCCAGATTAATGTTTGTCTGATGTTTAGGGTTTTGGGGGTAGTGTGATCCCACGAATGAAGGTTTAACTCAACATAGCCTGGCAGTAGAGAAGCTATACAGGCCTTCCTCATCCCTCCGCCCGGAAGCAGGATTTCTCGCTGTGTTTCAAGTAACCAGGCCGAACCCTACACCCGTAACCGCACGCCCTAAACCCTGCTTGGGGGTTTCCCAAATTTAGGGGTTCATTTTTGGGGATACGTACAATGAGGACTGTATATTGGGGTCTACGTTGGGGCACCCTGATCTGGGGAAACTGCCACTTGGATGGTCAAGGGGGACTTTAGTAAGTACACAAGAACCCTGATAATCCACGCAAAATCTTTCGTCATTCGCAGAGATTCAACCTACTTGCTAAGCCTTCCCGACCCTCGATTTAAACTCGGCAAGGACCCTAGGGGAGGGCGATACAGATCTCACAGGCCCTACGGATGGCCAGAATCCTTCTTTGAGGTTCCGGGGGATTTCGTAAGCAATATAGGAAGGGCAAAGAGAACGGGGATTTCTGCAGTATCAGGATTTAGGGTCTAGGGTCAGGGAGGAATTCGTATGTAGGTCAACAATGGGGATCGCTGGAGTTATCATAAGGGATGTCAGTATACTTAAGTCTCCCCTGACGCTCCAAGTTAGGCTGTGGAGTCTGTCAAAATCCCTATAGCACCCCCAAGAGTGACCCCCCATAATCCCTATGCGAATCCCTATGTAACCCCCTCTAAAATCCTACATGGTCCCTAAGGTCCACTAAGAGCACGTAAGACGCTTGCAATCACTAACGAATCCGTGTAGTTTCCCTAAGGACCACTTAGCCCTAAACCCTAAGCCCATGCGAGAATAAAACCGCGGTTGGAACTCTCTTCGGGATAATGTGGCAAGGCCCTCAACATTGAGGGTTCTGCTTTGGGGTACCTACGGAAGGATTCTAGCATATCGGGGTCTATTTTGGGCACAATTGACAAACAATCATGAAAGCCCCTGAAATTAGCTCTTGTTCGCTCGCCGTGTCGCACTGTTGTTTGTCGAAAAGCTCCTTACTCGAGGGTTGAGTTTCAGGAATAGATCTTACAAGAAGTTCCCTGCTTAGGTCGTTATTGAACCTGGTATGCACAAGATCGTCAAGGTCAAAGTGAGCGATTGCCCAGGCGCATGGTGAGTTTGTTCAACCGTGATGTCCTGCGCATGGTAGGAAAGTTTTGCAAGCCGTCATAGGGTTGTGGAATATGCGAGTTGTTAGTCTTACGCCAACCAGGAACTAGATGCAGGAATATGTTTCAAGATCCGTGTCTGGTTGTCCCCCAAAATTCTGGATATGAGGGTTGCTCAACACAGGGGAGTCGTAGGGACCCTATAGAAGTATATGAGGATCATCAAGGGGTTCTGTAGGGAAGTTCTGGAGCAACTCCTTACAAACGAAACCTTAGATCCTAAGCTCTAAGCCGTGTGTTGTTGTTGTGGTTTTTCCAAAGCACCATGGGCATGGGGCTCGAGAAAGAGCCTTGTTGTATGTATGTCGCACGAATCACAGCAATGCTTCATCTAGGATATAGGGCTATGTTTTTTTTTATCGTTAGGTTTATTCACAGACTTTTGACCCCACCGGGAAACTGCCCCACATCGTCTAAATTCTAAACCACAACCCGGAACTCTGAACTCTCGTGCATCTACCCCAGAAGCGCCAAGAACATTTTCAGCAGTGCAAATATCCGGGAATCTTGCATCTGGAGAGTGATTTGTTTATTCTTTTTTTCTCGGATCCTTGGGATCCTCCATCCACTGCATGGCGGGCTTCCCAGTTTCGAGCTTGTTTTTCCTTATGGGCTAGGACTAAGACCTTGGAGTTTAGGATTCCATGTTTAGCGTTATGGGCGATTTCTGTGCAATGTTATGGACCTCTGGTCGTTTCTACTACACCCGTGGCATTAGGCAGGAGACGTTGCAGGAGACGTTGATAAGGACTGATGCGTGGCCATGGGCACGAAAGAACTAACGTAGCAGCCTGAAACGTTGTCCAACTCGTATATGAGTCATAGTCTACACTCCCTAAAGAGGTCATATAGGGGACTGTTTAATAGAGGTTTTTGAGGGGGATGCTAGGAGTTTAGACTAGAGCTGATATCCCTGCTATAGGATCTGCGTTTTAGGGATTGTCAGCGTAATCTTTAGATACACAACCCAACCCTATTCAAATCATACAAGCCCCTACATTTTCTGGTTTGCCTTTGTGTTTTTGCTAGAGCCGCATGCAGAGTCCCGAAAATCTGAACCCTGAACCCTAATAAGCCCTAAACGTTAAAATCTGAAGGCCGGACCCTAAACTACTCTAACACGCAAACCCCAAACTGAACCACAGTTTTGCGCGGGACTCACATAAGTGGAGAGGCAGATGGAAAAGAACACTGTTTTTTGTTTATATCAGGTTTCTTTGAGACTACAATGGGGAAATGTAGAGGTCATTACAATTATCAACATGAATTATCTCGCTGTAATCCTAGCATAACTATGAGATAATCTACTGCAACTCGCCAAAAACACTGTTCCAATTTTTTAGGCTTCCACATCACGCTCGTAGCTGTGCCAACACTCCATACCCCGAACCTATCCCTGATCCCCCTTGCATCCTACACTCGCAAAACCACAGGCAGTACAAGTGGGTAGCGGTATGCTTACGGCAAGTTTGTTGGAAATTGTGCTGGGCGGCCAGGATGTTGAGACCAGTGTATAAAGTCTGAGATGCTTTGGCGAATGGCACGTAAAGATCGCAATTCTAATTGCCTGTGGAGGCAACACAAAAGGTCTGCTCACATGATTGAGAACCCGGCTGTTGGAAACGTGCCACTCTTTGGTTTCGAATTTTGTCGGCTACCCAAGAACAATTTTCATACACCTAAACCCCAAGCCACAAACCCTATGCCCCGACCCTAAACGCAGAACCCAAAACCTACACGCGCCTCAGTGAGCCTGTAGGTTATTCGCCCCCCAAAGCCAATTCTTCGGGTACTGCCTCCACTCTGTAACAATTGGAGAAGGTTTATGACATAGTTGTATCTAGCTCCGAATATGACCCCTATTATAGACTGTTACAGGGTAGGGGCAGTACGTACACAAACTGCTCTAAACCGCGCTAAATCCAATCCTCATAAGACTCTGGACCCCAAATCTGAAAATCTACACGCTAGACCTCAAGCTTAGGCCATGATTCCCCATGTAAAGCCCTATGTTTACATGTAAGCCTATGGATGCAGGGTCTGCTCCTATCCAAGTTGGCATCTCAACCGCTCCTTGTGCTTGAGTGTATAGTCCCCCTTAAGTAGATAGGATATGGGTTAAATATGGGGATCTTATTTTGATATACCCAAAGCCATATTCTATCTACTTAATTAGGGGGGACTATAACCCTAACCCCAATACATACCCCATTATACTATACTAGTTTCCATTTTCTTTTCCATTATCCCAAGATAACCCGCAATAACATAAGGGGGACTATAGCCTAAACCCTAAACCCTAAATCGTAGTTTCCGTTTTCTTTTCCATCATCCCCATATAATCCCTATATAACCCCTTTAAAGGGACCCATATTCTAGCTACATAAGGGGGACTATAAGGTTTGGTGCCCAGGGTCCGACAGTTGAAGTTTTACGTTACCCCATGGAGGTAATATTCGAGTTATATTGGGGTTATATGAAACTACAGGTTTAGGGTTTAGGGTTTTAGGATGTTTTAGGGTTATATTGAGGTTATATGGGGAGAGGGGAAAAGGAAATGGAAACTACTACTATAATGGGTTATATAGGGTTTAGGGTTTAGGGTTATATGGGGAGAATGGAAAATGAAATGGAAACTGCTACTTAGGGTTTGTCGGCAGAGGTTTTTGAGGTTATAATAAGGTTTAGGTTGTAGGGTTTAGGGTTGTTTAGGGTTCAGATTTTAGAGTTCATAACTCGTGGGACATTTAGGGTATAAGTTGTGCGTCGGGAGTTAGGGAGCAAGGTTTGAGGTTGGGGGGCGGTCGCTTTCAGCGGCAGATGTTGGAGCTAGAGTTGAGTTTAGTGGATTCGGGTATTGGGCTTCGGGCGGGTGTTGTTTTGCGGCGTCTAGGGTTTAGGGTTATGGTGTTTTCCAGAAATCATTCGCCAGAACATTGGCGATCCACGACTTGTGAGAACGAAGGGGTTTGGCTACCCAACCCCTAATACGGGCCCTCTGATTACATAGGACATTTGTGGGGTCTTTGAGGGGTAGGGTTACCAAAGTCCTCGCGTTGTGTAGTTAGGTAAGGCCATTGAAACGTCGAGTGTTCAGCGGGTCGGCACAGAGCTTAGAAGGTGTAAGAGGTGAAGCTTCTGAAGACGCCTCCCATGATGGCTTGTAACAAGTACGGTCCCCCTTTTTGGGGACCCTTGACATCAGGGCCGTAGTATCTTAGGGACCCACAAAAAAACCACAATCTTGACAACCCCAAACCCTAAACCTTAACCCTTAAACCCTAAACCCTCAACCCTAAACCTTAAACCCTAAACCCTAAACCTTAAACCCGTAGCCATTTTGGCTCAAGTTCTGTGGCTTTCAGCATCTTCATCCCCTGCTCCGTCCTGTCGATGATGGCCGCCCTGGAGTACGACATCACTGCCGCAGAAGCCTACAGGACCTACCTCGAGGCGAAGATCGCGAAGTTGCAGATGGAGGCGAACCATCTGAACAGCAAGCACAACAAGAAGGAGCGCTCAGCCAAGGGCAAAGAGGTGGCCGACCTGAAGAACAGCCACAAGTATGTCGATGCCTACAAAATCACCAAGGGCCTTGAGCCTAGGTTTGGACACTTCGCCGTGCGGCCCGCGATCGACACCGAAGAGCCCGGAAAGGAGGCGGTGGAGACAAAGCCGAAGAAGGAGCACAAGAAGGAGAAGAAGGCCGAATGCGCAGGCCTCAGCCACGATGAGCTGAAGGGACTGGAGGACCTGAAGCAAAAAAGCGAGAAGATCGTGGCATTGGGCACCAGATTGAAAGAGCTCACTGGCAGGTGCAGCTCGCTCACTGGCAGTAGCAGCTCCAAGAAGGAGAAGGACGGCAAGAATGGCTGCAAGAAGAAGACGCCCCTCAGTGCGCAAGAGCAGAAAGACTATGCTGAGCTGCAAGGCGCCTGCGCCAACAAGGACGTGAAGGCAGATCCAGACTTGAAGGACACGGAGGAGTGGTCAGAAACAGACGGTGAAACATTTCTGACCGCATATGCGCAGCTGGCTTCAGCTGAATCCTGGATGGTCCGAATGGCTGCCGCTGTTGGGGTTCACGTACAAGATGACAACAACGTCACGATTGCGAATGGCCTTGACACGTGATCAACCAGGTCATGACCGGCGCTGCTGAAGCTGAGGCTGAGACTGAGACACTGGCGGCTGCGACTGGGAGTGACACGAAGTTGAAGTGAACAAATAAGTTGAATCGGGGAACTTTGGCGAGGCTCGAAGATGAGGAGCGGCTGCGCAGGGTGGAGGCAGCGAGGGCCCGGGAGGAGGATCAGATGGCCCTTGAAGAGGCCATGGAGGATGGAAAGTCTACCAAGCGTATGAGGCTCGAGTGTGAGCTGAAAACTGTGAAGGGTGCCAGTGTCGGCCGTGGTATGCATGATGTGTTGGTGGATGGAGAAGAACGCCTGGTGGTGGTCACTGCCGTCTTCGAAGTGCCCCTGGACCAGGAGCCTGCCGCTGAGGAGGGCATTGAGGCGCCGATCGGCTCCGCGATGTTTGATGAGATGGTGCTGGATGCCTCGCAAACGGTGGCAGCTGTGGACGAGGAGAACGTGCCGTGCGTGCCAGGATGCGCCTCAGAAATAGTGAGAGCATACCTCGCTCTCTTCCTTGACGGGGCCGCGCAGGAAGAAATGATTAGAGATCGCTTTGGTGAGGACGTGGCCAGGTGGTTCGGTGACCGGCGTGATCGGCATCTACGAGAAGCTGGACGACGGACCTCAATTGTGGATCCACCTGGTGAGAGGGACACGGCAGCCGATGACCAGGATGATGACGCTGGTCTTGTTGGTTGGTGGACATGGTGGTGCCTTCCGCGATGCTCCTCCTCCTCCTGGTGGAGCTCAGGTTCAAGGGGATCTGCCCCATGGCTCTCCGCCCCCTCCAGGTCCACATGATGGCTCCGATGACTCTTCCTGCTGGTGTTTGTGACAACCCTGATGCCGCACGTTGTGGCCTTCGCCAAGTGGATGGGCACAACGACAATGAGCAACAGATGGATGGTGGGGCTACAGGAAATGGCGCTTCTGTGGTGGGTGTTGGTTGGAGCCTCATCGTCCTGGGAGCCTGTGTGGCGATGGGCTGAAGTTGGTCATGGAACGTGAAAACTGTGGTCCCTGAGAGATGTGCAGTCAAGTGTTGCCTCTTGCGCGCTGCACTGCCCCTGCTGGGCTGAGCTTGGCCTGGGGTGATGGTAGTTGCTTTTTCAGGATGGGGGATGTTATGATGAACCCGTGCACAATTGCTCCTGCGTAACTACGCGTTTCTGACCTCTTCGGCGGACGGAAAAGAGGGGCTGCAAAAAAAAACTTAAACCCTAAACCCTAAGCCCTAAACCCTAGCGCCATGCCATCCTTGGACCATGTTTTCGCTTCGGCTGCATCCAATCTGTGGAGGCTAAGCGTCTAATGTAGGCCCCTAATTAATAAACCCCCTCCTTGAATGGGGATTATAATAGGGATCCTAATATTAAGGCGGAGGTGGTTTATTAATCATGGATCTACATTAAGTGTCTAGCTGTGTTTTGCTGCGCAATGAGCAGGCAATGTGGAATGCAGAGCAGTGGATGTTCAACGTAGAGCATCTAGGGCATTCGGAGGGGAAGCCGCACATCCTCATTCTACAGATAAATCGAAATTCTGGTCACCATTTTTGGTACTCCTAATACATTCTCTAATTCTTTAGAGTACCCAAAGCAGGGTGATTTTGACATCCCTGTGGATCACTGACCTCAAGGAACAGCTGAATCTGGGGTAGGTAGACTAGCGAAGTGCAATCGTTACCCTTTGAACCCAGATTCCTAAACCCCAGACCGTTGAAGTAACATGGAACCCCTGAAAGAGCCCTTGTCAAGACCGTAAGCAGGCTCTACTTGGGGTTCAGGGTTCATGGGCTTTTAGCTTACTTGCTTGGGAGTCGGAGGTCCACGTATAGAACCCCATGTTAGTTTGTGAGGGGTAGCTGGACGTTCTTCATGCGTCAGTGATTTGGCAAGCCTTGCAAGAAAAGTTTACTCAAAAGGCCTACTTCCTCTGTAGTATTTTGGCTGTCTTGATAGTGTCCGATGGCAGTACACGATGGGAAGACCATGGACCCTCACAGAACTTTCTCAATGTTATGAGTCCCATTGTTCGCGGGTCTGATACCCAACGTTACGGAGTATGGGGCGTACAAAGCGGGACGCACGTGTTCCAACATGTTGCAGGAAGCACAAGCACTCCAAACCGCAAACGGTGTTTCCCCAATCGTAATCCATACAAATCCCAATCCCTAAACCATACTTTCCCAAAACCCTCAAACCTCCAAATCCATAACCCCACCCACCCTACACCGTAACTGTCAATGACTTCCACAAAGGCTGGATGGCAGCCTAACTCGCCGTTTGGCAAGGAGCCATGCCTTTCGGAGGGTCCACGGTCATATGAGAGATTCTTTTAACTCGTAGACCCTAGGGCTGCAGTTACCTACATAATGGGAACTGTATTCTGTATACCTTATAGTAACATAGCCCAGTAGCCTACTACATCGCCAGGAATATAGTTTCGACCTAATCGGGTCTCGGGGCTTGTGAGGAGGCCCCAGCATAGGGAAAAAGAGTATGCAGGATGGGC